AATTGAAGCGTGATGTGTTAGCCTAACACTTTAAAACTAATCAAAATAACCTCCCCTCTCCAGGATGGTGGGCTTTATTCTTGTTGTACTGCAATAATGATGTGAATGATTTTACAGATTTATTCCACTTCAGTGATTCATTACAAATCCAGTGAGCTCTGACATGCACTGAAGTCAGCAGGTTATGGGTCAGAGAACACGGTAGCCCCAAGGGCTGGTCACTGAAATGGCAAGTTTGCATGTGGCTGCATTAAATGAAGTTGTTGCTCATAAACAGCTGATAAATATAGAAACCTTGGAAAGTGGCTTTGAGTGCAGTTATGAGATTCTCTTTATTATCTTAAACGTGAGTGTTTATATTAATGTATATCACACAAACTTGTATAGGTAAAATCTATTTTAAAATACTTTAACCTGTAAGCAGTTAGCTGATGTGTCCCATAGATCTAAACATCCAAACTGTTGCCAAAATGAAGTTGGTTGTTTTCCCACAATGGCCTCTCCTTGCATGTGGTTCCTACTCACTGCAGATGCTTTCTCCTTCAGCAAGTCCATCCAGTCGTGCAGTCATGGCAGGCTTAAGCCTTGGCAGGGCAGCTTCATGTAGAAGACCAGCAGAGCTGCAGCCTTCACCAGTAGCTCTGCACAGAATTGTGGAGAGGAGACTTCTACCCTAATTCAAGGCCAGGTTGGATGGGGCTTTGAGCAACCTGGCATAGTGGAAAGTGTCCCTGGCCATGGCAGGGGGGTTGGAACTAGATGAGTTTTAGGGTCCCTTCCAACCCAAAACCATTCTGTGATTGTATGGTATGAAGGTATTCCTGCTTTTCAGACTGTTGTTTTGCTTTTTTTTTTTTTATTTTCTTCATCTACTTGCTACATCTGAGAGCTCTTAGTAGTACACTTTGCTTCTGTTAGATTTAGAATTGGAATTACCAATGGAAAACTTTGTCCGGTGTCTGCTTCTTTTTATATATAGTTTTCATTTATTTGTAGGAAATCTGAAATAACTTAGACTTGCATAAAACTTGGTGAAGGGTTATTTTCCCTGGTGCTGAGGATCTCTATTTGCTCTGCTGTGTGGTATTTTCAGACAGGGAGTGAGTAGCATTAGACGAGAAGGAAAGGGATTGGAATCAGTCCTTCTCCATTTATCATACACCTCTTAGGTGTATTTAATTGGACAAAGGTGGTCTGTTTCATGAGAAAGGGATGATCCCCTACAAATCAAATATTTGACAAGATCTTTAAACAGGAATACCTTTTCACATTCTATAATACTGCATGTGCAGGGAGTGCGGAACATAGGCACACGTCTACAGTCCACATTTTGCCGTACTAGTGGCTTTAAAAAAATGCTATGGATATTTTTCCACACGTGTGGTAGACATCATATATAAAGTTAATATCAAATTAATCTTGATGATGGTTTTTATTTCCTTAAGACTTTGCATGGTGGGACTGAAAGCTCACACAGAGCATGTCCTGTGGATTTGTGTTATAACATTTTCTCTATAAATAGTTTTGAAACACTGCAGTAGCAAACATCACTTGTTTCTTTTTTTTGTTGAAACAACTACAGCATGTCATTACAGATAGATTGATAGTCTTGATAATATTGAACTTTGTCAGACCTAACATGGCAGACTTGTTACATTTCAGAAAGTTTGTCATTTTTCTTGCTATTCAAAAGGCAAATATATTTGCAACTTTGAGTGGCATTGAATAGGGAAAGCAGACAGAAATTTATCATTTGTCAGAACTGGTTTTCTTGTGGGGTTTGTTAGATTTTTTTTCTTTTTCCTTTTATTTCTGACTATTCTGTTTTAGGAATATAGAACAGCCAATTGTGGCTTGTAAGAGCTATATGAACTGTCTTTTTACAAATGTAAAACACATTCTTTACTGCTTCACATTCAGGTCATTTATTTTAATGCTTTTTGGACAGAAACAACATCTGACCTTTATTACTGAGTTGCATAAAACAACTTGGCAAGGTATAGCTAATGGTGAAGGTCTTGTACAGGAGATGGTACAGTAAGGGACACAGATGCATAGAGAGCAAATTTTCATAACATTAAGGTTAAAATTAGTATATTTTCTACCAAGTGTATTTCTTCAAGTGCGAGTGCTTTGTGCTAGGAATAAAGCTGTATCAAAAAGCTTATTTTGTTGTCTTAATATAAAGTATAATTTCTGTGTTATGATGATAAGCTGTAAATAAGGTATTTGTTTTGGAGACATGGATGAAAAGTCAGGTTTTCTGCATATGATAGAAAAAGCAGTGGATTTCTGGTGTAAGAAGCAGCAAAGAAATGGATGAAAACATTTCATCAAAGGATGAAAACAGGTATTAAGGCAGAGACAAGGAAATCCAGGACAGAGCATTAGGAAGACAGAGTTGAAAGAAGAAGGTGAGGTTATCAGTCATATAGCGCTAATACTTTTGTGAGGGGCAAAACTCATAGGAGAATGACAGCGTTTTATGCTGAACAAGAAAGAAAAAGACTTCTGATTGCTAATAGAAACACACTGCAATCAAAAGGAAAAACATTCTGTGCATTAGTATGCAATAGCACTATACACTTCTGAATGTATTACATCCTAGCGAAATCAAGAGGATAATGATTAGCTCCTCAGCTAGAAAGGTTTTCTTCCAATATTTTGGTTCAAAATACAGACTGGTTTTAATAAGTTTGGCTGTATATTGTAAACCACATCACTTAGTATTTTATTCTAGGAGGTCATGTAGCATTGTAGGTGCTGAACACAGTAAAATAGTTCTCATTTTGTTTAAAAAATAAAAAGAGCAAGAGATTTTATTAGCTCTCAGTACTGTTAGTATAAATAGAAGTTGAAAGTGTGGAGCAGGGTTATTATGTGGCTCATTACTGTTTATTACCACAAGACACATCAAGATGTCTCCTAGTTAGGGGGAGTAAATCACTTGGAACATGCCTCTTTTGTCAGTCTTCTGCACGATGCTCAGCGCTAGCATGCTTTCTTCCAGTGCTTTAAGGAATATGTCTAAAATCTGTTGCTTGTCATATGTTCTCTCCATCTCTTGCTGAACAGAAGTGAACAGATGAATTTCTTATTTTGATATGATTTGTTTTTACATCTTGGAGAGAGGAGGGGAAGTGTTTTTCTTCTGAAAAGTTTCTGTCTAAATTGTGTTCCCAGGAAATTGAGAAGAGCTTTGCAGACTTCACACGAGTTAAAATTTGGTTAATTGTGTAGCCCAGAGATAACTGAATATTTTATTTTTTTTAATTCAGCTTGCCAATGTTTTTCACTGTCACTGAGGACAAAGAAAATTTTGTTGTGTCAGTCATTACACTGAATTTAGAACTGGAAAGAAATGGGATGGTTTTAGTGAGTTTGTGCCTCTTCAGCTGCGCTTCAGTAGGTGTTTGTGTTTCAGGGTGTATTTCTCTTTTAGCTTTTTAATAGTCTGAAACCTCCTCAAAAATGTCTTCACCTTTGCTTTTTAGCCAGGATCAGAAATGAGCTACTAAAGTTAAGCTCAAGATCTTTGAAGAACTAACAAACCTTGGTAAATCTTAGTCTTTAACAGCTAAAAATTGCAGTTGAAAGGCCCTCACTTCTCTTGCATGAATGTGAAAGGTTTTTGGTTGGTTGTTTTTTGGTTGGTTGGTTTTTTTGTGTGTTTTTTTTAATTCTAATTTGTCTTTACAGCACTCTATATTTCTTTTGACCAGAGTCTAATCAGAAGTTTTTTTAAAAGCTGCATTTCCTCATTAGAGATGGGAAATGCCACTAGTATGAAGTAACTGCCTGCAATTTTTAGTCATGATGATACTCATCTTCTGTTGCTTAATCTTTCTACTCCTCTCTGCTGTTCTTGCTCTCTAGTCTGAATGTAATGTGTGGTTTCTGCCAGTGCCAAAGGCCTTGCAGATCTGAGATCTGTCAGCTGTGTCCTTGTGCCAGTCTTTGCTAATGTGGCGTGTCCCCTTAGCCCTGGCATTCCCCTTACCAACACGCTAAGCAAGTCTGCTCTGCCACCAAGTCAGTTCAAGACATATGTCAAAACACTGAAAAAAAGACACCCCAAGCCCATTATTCTTATGACATTTCTTTGCTGTCCCTGCACTGGTGGATTACATCTCTGTGTGGTATTAGCACTTCAGAGAGAGCAAAGCAGGCAAGAAAGCAATGGTACGAGTATACATTCCAGAATAGTGAAATCAGTGCAGCAAATACCTGCTGGTTTTGTTACATTTACTGCCCTGTTTGACAAGTTTTCTAGTTTGGAAATATTTCCATACCATCTGTTGTCCCTGATCCTGTTCAACAGAGCAGTAGTACTGGCCTGGTCATTTCTAACACATTTCCTCAGAAATTCTTATGTAGGGCTGTTATGTACATGGGCTAAAAAGCAAATATCTTTACTATTGATTTTTCTTCAACCATTGCCTGTTTACTTATTCATTTATGTGGTTCTTTAACATTCTGCATTTATAATTTGTAAAGTTCTATTTTTGTATGTCTGCAAGCACTAATTTGATCAGGTGAAAAAGTAAGGTGTGTAGATACTAGTACACATGTATCTGAAGGAAACAGGACCTTAATTGATTCAAAATACTTCCACCTTTCAGAGGTTTCTCATCTGCCATAACTGCTAGAAGCAACCTAATACACAAGGAGCCTGGTGGAAATGAGAGTATAAAGATTGTTCTTGATCTTGTTGCACAAAGATAGGGAGTTGATGAGTTGGGTAGAGCCTGCAGCTGGAGTGCTTCTTGTGCAGAAGTGGGGGAGTAAAATTCCCCCATTGCACCTCCTGGTTAAATTGGGGGGCACAGTGACATAGGTGGCAGTCACTGCTCCTGTGGTTGCTTTCAGGGCCCTTACCTATACTTCTCAGTAATGCTCGCATTTTGTTACATCAGCATCATACACGATTGTCCTCAAATAACCAAGTAATGTGGTCAATGCTGACTCTTTAGTGACTGCTGTTCACTTTCTTCTGACAGATGTAAATGAGTGCAGCATGGAGAATGGTGGCTGTCATGGCCAGTGCTGTAATACTGTCGGCAGCTACCACTGTAAATGTCCAGCTGGCCAGAAACTGGAGGAAGATGGAAAATCATGCAGAGGTAATGCTTTGTATTTGTACTGTGTTCCACTGCTATTAAGAAATCAGAAAAAACATTGGAGAGGAAAAGGAAATGTTAGTTTTTATCTGGAGCCAGCTGAAGAGCATATACTCAGACTTGTCAAGAGTGCAGATCTTCTCCTGTCTGGATTATGAAGATATAACTATAAGAACACTTCAAAGGGTTGGGATTTTGTTTTCTTTTTTGAAGAAATATTATTACTTAACCTGGATTGGCTGTGCCATGTTCTGATTATGGAATTTCCATCATCAATTTAAAAACTTGAACGTGGATATGTTTGATAACATTTCGTCTGTCTCTAAAACAAAATGGTTCTTATCCAAAAATATGCATACTTTTTTGCATTTCAATCACAGTTCCACAGCTAAAGATTAACTGAATAAAAAAGGATTTAAAACCACATGCTATGTAAACCCATTTGTCTTCTTCCTAAAGGAAATATAAGTCTAGTTAGTGAGTTATAGGGTAAAATTTTCCTTCTAAAAGCTTGATTTTGTGGAGAAGCAAAACATGACATAAGCTTATGTTGGAACACATGATGAATTTTGGTTAGACTTCTTGCATATAGACTGGTAAATATAGACTTGGTGTAAGTAAGCCCATCTGATCTGTTGACCTACAAACACTACAAATTTGCATAATCAGATGCTGCAAAAGGTAGAGGAGATAAGGTGTAAAGTAGCCAAGGTGTACTGTATTGCAGGCCAGAGCAGTTCCTTCTTCTTGAACTCTGCTCTAACATAGGTAATGAATGTTCACTGCTGTATAATCTTGTATACACTGGCTGGTGCCTGGATTACATCCTCAGCTGCATTTCATTGCTGTAAGTGTATCGTTGATGGTTTTGATTATCTTCAGGTGAAAGGCACTAGATAGGTTTTCATGAGCTGTATTCTTATCTTTTCACAAGAAACCATCTTCTCTGGCTTTTTCCGGTTGCATAGTATCTCACAAATTTCTTAAGGTTTGTATACAGCAATGTCTTTCTTGGCTGTGATCATATACTATATCCTAAATTTGTAATTTATTTGGCTGCAATTCTTTTTTTTTTTAGAATATCCTAGAATTATTTTCCACAGCAACCTATCATTTGATATCCAACTTGACAGTGTAAATAAGCTGTGGATGGTTATTTTGTTTTGATAGAAGCTTTTCATTCTGGTCCTCCGTGCTTTCATTTTGACCTTTTGAGAACCCAAGCCAGAAATACTATGATTCACAGATTCCTGCTACTTCACCTCAGCCTTCTCTTATCTTTTTTTTCAGACTAGCTGGTAGTATAGCCGTGAACAGGCATATAGGTTCATACATTGATGGCTTCTTACTGCTATCAGATCTGTGTAAAAGTTGTCCAAAGCCTGAGTTTTTGAAAGAAGGGATCCTACTCATTATCATCCTAAATTGCTCAGCATGCAGGAGTCCTGTTTCCATAATTTTGTGTAAGTTAACCTAGTGTTCATTCTGCGCAATTCTTTTATTCTGAGTATTTTGACATTCTTTAAAAACTCAGAGTTTAAGATGTTTGATTCTAACCAGGAATTACAGGAGAATATATTATAAGCTTATTTTAAGCCACTTTTTAAAATCTTCAGACAAAAATGGAAACTTACAATAAGTTGGAAACGCTCAAGTCATGGAACAAAGTGAACATAGCAGTGACAGTAATTAAACATGAATTTTTGTGAAGATGATAATGACAATAAGTGTATGACTATATTGACTTGCAAGAAGGCCAGCTTGAGCCGACCTCTAGCGTCAAATGTTGCAATATAAGTAACTTAGTGGTTGATTACTACATGTGGGAAAAGTGATCTTCCAAACAAAACTCTGTCTGCTGCTGGAAAGTGCTGGTCTTTCAGGATGTAATACTGGATTGCTGTTTTATTGACACTTCTGCATTGCTCAGAGTGGTCATTTTGCAGATGAGAGTGAACCAGCTTCTCATTCAGGTTATTCAGCATCTTTAGAGGAGTAAGGCTTACAGTTGTTCTGGGTAGTTATATTCTTTCTTTCTTTATAGCATCATTGTGCTTTATGTTACCCTTTAGTCTGAACTCAAACCTTAAATAGATTTGTTCTATTGTTCTGCTCCTGTTATCCATCTCATGATTGGTTTTATTTCACTGGTGACTGAAATGATCAATGGATGTACAGGTTTTTTATAAACCAAGGTATAAACAAGGTGTATCATTAAGAAAGCGCCATGGAAGTAGTACAGATTTTATTCAAAAAGTCATTATTAGTGCGAAGATTGATCCTGTTTTTAAAAAAAAAAATATATATATATAAATAGAACATCCTTTTGTCAAAAAGGGAAGACATCAGGAAATATATCTATAAAAAAAAAAGAAAAGGTTTTAGGTATTTGTAGCTATTTAATGCTAAAGAAGGGAAAGCAGATAAAAATTTACTACTCCCAACAACATAATAAAGTGTACTTCTGATTTGATCAATAATAGCTGAGGGTTTTATAAGCAATTTTAGGAGACCCAGAGGCCTAATTTCACAGCTGCAGCGAGCTGAAGATGCCCAGCATCACTGTTTTCTGGGTTGTCAAAAGTGTGTGCACGACACAAGGCTCCATGAATGTGCACAAGACAACACCATAAAATAGGGGAAATAATCTTAATACAAGTTATTGCTATCAGCATTGACTAAATCTTCCCTTTCTCAGGTGGTTCCGCAGCTGATTACAGCCACATTGGGAAGGGGATAGCACAGCACAGCCTGGGACACCCCACACTTGCGGGGTCCACACTCCTCCCGAGGCTTGTAAGGATCTTTTCTAGCTCATTGGGAGCTTTTCTGTCAGGATGTATCATTCAGATGATGTGATGTATAAAGCCTTACCTCATTTCAGTGGGGGATACTTACATCAAGAGGTAAGTTGCAGTAAGTGGAAGGCATGTGCATCTATATAGCAATGCCAGCCAGAGCAGTGAACTGATTAGCCTTTCAAAACTAATTATCTACATGTTGTACTGCAGATTTTACTCTTCAGTGTTCGTAGACAGATTTCATTTTCTTATCTGACAGAGAAATGTTTTCTGGCAGATAGTTACATTGGCATTACAGATTTTGACAGAAAGCTCATGCTTACCTCTCCCTTTTCACGTGTCTGATGGAAATTAATGATGAGAAATGATGTGGATTTAAGTCACTGCACAAATAATACAGCAAATTAATATATGACATAGTCATACATGCAGACTATCAGCCTGATTCTGTGCCCTGTGGGTCTGTACCAGCATTCAGTGTTTCATGGGCAGTCTGGAGAGTGTCTGTGGGTGGATTTGCTCAGAAAAGTGTAATTTGGTCTGAGGAAGGGAGAGGAAATGTGTGTGTGTGCAATACTTCCTTATTTGACGAGCAGAGGTACCACTGATGACTTATGTCAGTGAGGTGCACTGAGATGTATGAATATTCTCATTTAATATTTTGTACTAACATAAAACAATTCTACTCGAACATCACAAAAAGCAGAAATGATATTTTCTGAACATAAATAACATTTTAAAACTCAATTATTGGCACAAGTCAAGATCTGTAAGGGGGGTTGAGGCTATAACTACAAAAGCATGTTTTCACACATCAATAAGCTCAGAAGTCAAATGAAAAAGGGTTGTGACCTTATGTTAACCTTCTTTGGTAAACTGTCATTTCTTATTTATATGATTATGCTCTCATCTGTCAGGATAACTGAAAGAAGTTAGAGACAAATGAAGTCTTACGATTAGCTGTGATGAAAAGAAGCTTATATTTTACTGATTAGAGTAGTATTGCAGTGGCTGTAACCCTATCCCCAGCGGCTTTGGTCAGACCTTGGGGCCCAGGCAAGTTTCTTGACTTTTGCCATAGGGACTTTTGGGGCAGCTGTATCCAGAGCCAGTGTGTGACTTTGCAAGGCCATTGCTGTTTACGCCAGTAATGTCAGAGTCACTGGTGTCACTGATTTAGCCTGATCCCAGGTCGGACAGAAATTCTCCAAACACTGGTGACACTGAAGAGTTAATAGCTGGACTAAAAAGAATATTGAGGGAATTGTCTAAGAGAAAGAAAGTTCTTATTAAAATGAAAATGACTTCAACATTTATTTAGTCTGTAAGTTTTGAGGTGTAACTTAGTCTTGTCAAACTCTCTTTTTGTTGATACTAATTCTGCATTTGGACTGTTTTCCTTGCCCAACAAATCAATGCACAAGGCTTCTGCCATTTCCTATGAAAAAAAAAAAAAGCCTGAAGGATATAATACCATGAACGTGTAGGGAAAAGACAAGCAGGTCTTAAATTTTTTATTTTTTTAATAGAACAGAAGAAATCAGTGCACTGGAGGGATTCAGGATGCCTTTTCATTATCTTATCCCAGAAAGTTGCATTTGACTTGTAGCATTATGGCACACCATGACACAGTTATGGTCAGGAACACTTACAATAGAAGGAGAATAAGGAAAATGAATTATGTTTTACAAAAAGAAAATGATACCAGTTCTGATTATAGATGCAACAAGTACCCCTCTGCATGAGCTCAAATCTCAGGGCAATCAAGTGAAAGCACTCATAGATGAGGTGAAGCCACCCATCCTTCATCTTTTTCTATCTCAAGACCTTGTCTTGAGGTACAGAAATAACATCAGTTCCATGAACTCTATCACAGTTATCTAATTGTCTGTAACTGAATTACTGTGTCCACTTAGTGTGCACCTTAGAGAATTAGGGGAGCGGACAACTCCATCTTGCGACCTTAATAGACCCTAGGTGAAAAATATTGGTTACTAGGATATTTTAATGTGCTGGGTTTTTTACAGCCATTCAGAAAGGAAGAGAAAAAAGAATAAGTAAAATTAAAAAAAAAAGAAAAGTGAGAGAAAGGAGGACAAAACCTAATTTCTGGTATTTCCAACCTTGTCGTTAGGTGCTCTCATAGGTTCCTATGGCAAAGTCATAAAACTCCCCAAGTAATTAAGTTTCAAAACAAAAAAG